TGAGCTTCCTATTGCCAAATCGAACATGGCTTGTCAGGCTGGTCCTCTCAGGAGCCCCAACACTGCTGGCCACGCACTTCTTTTTAGAAATGTCCCAAGACTAACTGATCCTCCTAACCCTTCCAGCTGAGCTGATCCGATTTCCTGTGTTCACCCTCCACCACTGTCCCAGACACACACAGCCCCATCTGTTTGGGACTGGGAAGGAGTGAGGTATTGCCATTTCCCTTACGAAATAGTACTTTATATTCACTGCTTAATAGGGGTTAGGTACTTAGAAACTTGGGTTAATGGACATTGGTTTGCATAAACTGTTTGCATTTAGGTTTTTCTTCAAAGAATGTTAATTATTTAAACTATCAATAAAACATTGAGTTTTAAATTTGCTTAAATCATACCCTGGAGCCAAGTGGGAGGCTTGCTGGCTCCATAATGGAGTCTTATAACCAAGTTGCATTCCCTTGCTGTCAGAAAAGTGGTGCATCTCCTGTGAAACCCACGGTTGCTGCTTAGCCATGTGTGAGAGTAGACACAGGGGACTGAAAGCTTAAAAGCAGGGGCCTGAAGGGGTGTGGTGGTGGACACCTATAATTCCAGCTACTCAGGAGGTTCACAAGCAGGAGGATCACAAGTTTAAGACCAGCCTGGACAACTCAGTGAGATCCTATCTCAAAATAATAACTAAAAAAGGATAGGGATAAACTGGGTATGGTGGCACACACCTGCAATCTCAACATTCTGGGAGGCTGAGGCAGGAGGATTCGCAAAATCAAACCTAGACTGGGCAACTTAGCAAGATCCTGTCTCAAAATATAGAAAGAAAGATAGATAGACAGATAGATAGATAGATAGACAGACAGGCAGACTGGGAATGTAGCTCAATGCAAAAGCCCTGAGTTTGACTGTTATAGATAGCTAAGCTAGGTAGAAATATTATAGGCAGTCAGATAGGGTGAGGCCTTCAAGAGAATCAGGACAAAGGTGAAACACATCACAGTGGCCGGAGACTCATCTGTCAGAGACCAGGACTCAAGATAAAGGCAAGATAACCAGGCCTGTACTCTTCCTCCAAGGACAAACACAAGGCCAAACAAAGTCTCGATAAACATTAGTCACCTAGTGGGTGACCAAGACCTCCAGACCCATCAGTTCCTAGAAAAAAATCTTTGTTCTTTGCATGCACTCTTGTTATGTGACTTGTTTCCCCACTGGATCGCTATTACCTGAGCGTCTATACTTGTACCCTCATTGGTTAATCAGAGCTGCAACCCACATTGTACCCACGTGGGTATTGCTCGTCAGCATTTAGGCCCTCTCCTGCCTCTCAGGAGCTAGCTCTCTCTCTCTCAATAAATATCTTCCTACTCTTACCCTCTGTTGTTCCTGGAATTCTTCAATTTTTAGAGAACATGAACTTGGTGTGTCAGACACCTAACCAGTTGGGGGATTTCATATTTCATCTCCTGTATCATATCCTATAACAGTGCCACAAAACCAAAAACAAGCAAAATGGGGACCACAAGTGCCTAGAGAGGGCAATGGCAGGGTACTTGCTCAATTTTGCCACTTACAGCCAAAAGCTGGGCCTTCTCCCCAGGCAGGCAGCAGACCTGTGGAGCCATCCTGAGCACCAGAGGCCAAGGTCTGCCACTGCCTGGGAAAGTGGACGCTAGATGACCATCCCAGCCTCTTGCTTGTTCTTTCCTCTGTATGGCCAGATAGGGTCTCTAGGGTGGAAAGTGGACATAATGTGTTTATTTCTCTCCTTGGTTCTGTCAGGAGAATCTACTCTGAACCTCTGAGGTTAGGCCTCTAAGGGACTCCATGGGGAATGTGGCAAATCCAGTACCTGGTGCTCATGGGGCTGGTTTCCTGAGCCCTTTGGGGAATTCTCCTGAAGCTGAGCCCCTCCCCCAAGTGGCAGCTATGGAGCTACCATGAGTGTCCCTTTTGCTGAGACCACATGATACTCAGCTGGATGAACCAAACCCCAAGCCTCAGTCACCAAGCAGAGGCCTAACATCTGGTAAGACACATCACCAAGGCCTCGGGAGGCCCAGCCAGGGGAACTGCAACTACAGACACATCCTAAAGCAGCAGTTCCTAGATTTAGCTGTACACTGGAATCACGGGACAGTTTTTTGAAGACTCCACTGCCCGTGCTGAAGCCAGAGCACCTGAGCCAGAATCTCAGAGGCAGAGTCTTTGTCAAAGCTCCTTGGTGATCCTGGTGTACAGCCACAGGAGGTCGGTGGCCTAGTGACAGGGCAGCCTTCTCCGCATACCATTCTAATTCATAGTACCCAGCTGTGCAAGCCAGAAGCCTAGATGTCCCCCTTGGTCCACGCATGACTAACTCCTCCAAGGCTGCAGCCTCCCCCACAGCGGGGCCACTCACACACAGAAGACGGTGTTCCAAGGACCCGGGAGCTGAGCAATGCTGAGCCCGGCATGACCCTGCCACCTTTCTGTCTTCCCTCCGTCCTCACTGCCAGTGCCTTCCTTGAGGCTCACTGTCACTTGCCTGGACACCTGCAATTGCGTCCTAACTGGCTCCTGCGCTAATGTGGTCTCTGCACTGGGTCAGGTGATCCAAAGTCAAGTGTATTCATGCCATTTCCTGCTTAAAACTCACTAGCAAATTCCCATGGCCTTCAAAAGATCTGGGTCCCCTCAACTCTGCAATGAAGATCCCTGCCCCCTGCAATGTGGCCCCTGTCTCCAGGCCTCGTCTCCCACCCTTACCCCACTCACAGTCTGATTTGGCCGTGAAGTGCTGTGCACTATTCGATACCTCCATTTTTCCCTGAGATGCCTAGCAAACACATCCTTTGAGCTTGGCTCAAAGACAGCTCCTCTGGGAAGCCTTGGCAGACCCTGCTGGGCCCAGGGAGCTCTTCATGCCTCTAGGCCATCCCCTGCCGCAAAGCTTCCCACAGCGCTGCCCTTATTTCTGTGCGTCCATCTCTCCTCCCTTGTCAGCCACTCTGCACTTCCAGGAGTCCTTCATTTGTAGACCATGGAACCAAATAAAAAACCAACTAACTCCTTGGAACTTGGGTATGACCCCTGGATCCACTTTCTCCCATGCACTTTCAGTCTCCTCTGCACTGGCTTTCTATGGCCCTCAGCTACTGTGCTTAACATCTTGGCTTTGTTTCTGTGGACAAGAACTGGAAACCATGCTTGTGACCATGCTGGAAGACCATAGCAGTGGCTCGGGGAATTTTTCCTGCTTTGCTCCAGCCCAGCTCACAGGAACATGTCATGTGTCTCCGCTCCAGGAAATGGAATCACACATGACCTCTTTGTGCATGTTCCTTGAAGCAAGGAATGGATTTCACCTTTAGACCTTTAATGTCTGGTACCTTATATAGGATCGGGCCAGGCCTTTAGGAAGCATTCACTAAAATTTTATTGGATGGGAAGTTGGATGAACATATGGTCGGCTGGTGAAGGTGTGGACAGCTGAACAGACAAACAGGCATTTCCCTTCAACTTTCTCTAGTTCCTCATGACTCTTTGCTAAGGGGCACACCTTTTCTCTTCTCTTATACCTCCCCTGTGATGGGCAGATGTGATGGTTAATCTTGTATTGACTAGACTGGGAAACACCTATGAAATTAGTAAAGCACCCTTGTGAGCATGTCCAAATGTGTCTACAAGGGTATTTCCAGAGGTGATTGGCATGTAGGTCAGTGAACTGAGGGGGATGACCTGCCCTGAAGGGGGCTTGGGTGGATCTTCCCATTTCTAGCCAGCCTGAGGGGAGCAACTCTGCTCCCCCATGCCCTCCCACCATGTGGTATGGTCTTGCATGGGGCCCAGAAAATATAGACCAAAACCTCAGAGAAGAAGAGCCATAGTAAATCTTTTCTCACTTACTTTGCCTTTCTCAGGTATTTTGTCACAGTGACAAAGAGCTAACACACCAGATAAGAGGTGTAATGGCCCCTGGGGCTGTTACAAACTCACCGATGAGGTGTCCCTTCTCTGTCTGCAGCAGTGAAATTCTAACCCTAGCAGGCTGCATTTAATTAACTCCTAATTATGATTATACATTGCCACCCAGTACTCTTTCCTGGAGGTCAGAGACTGTTTTTCCTACAACCCCTCAGCCCCCAGTTGAGTTTGGGTACATGGCGGTAAGTGCTCAATGAATTCTTCCTCATTAGGAGATAAAGACACTCCCTAGACATGAAGATTGAGGCTCGGCCCTCATCGAAGAAGAGATGGCTGGGGCCGGGGATTTAGCTCAGCGGCAAAGCACCTGCCTGGCAAGCACAAGGTCGTGAGTTCGGTTCCCGGTACCCCCCTCCAAAAAAACAGAAGAGATGGCTGCCCCGTCTCTAGAATGTTCCGCCTCTGCAGAGATAGTCTGACATCTGTTTCTCAGTCTGGGATAAATGTTCTAGATCAAGCAGTCCCATAATAAAACTTCTCAGAGCACTTAGGGAATTATGCTTGGGGAGTCTTTCTTGGCAGCAGATAATAAATCAATGACAGCTCAGCGAAAATGCTGAGTTAGAATGGGATCCCTCAGGCCAAGGTAAGAAAGGAGCCACAGTCATCCTTTCCCTGTCTGCCAAACTCTGAGACCTTCCTGTGAGCTTGGACCCTGTACTTAGAATTCCCAGCCCGGCTCCCCCATCTTCTCAGTTTTATCACTGTAAGTTCTGCATTCTGGAGAAGGCTCAGCCCCAGGCAAACAGGGATAGTCTCTCCAGTCACTCCAGTCTGGTGCTCTTCTCCTTCTTTCCCCATCAGCACAAAGAAAGATCCCCGTGGGTCCCTGTGCTTTTATGTGGGTTGTACCCCACTTCTAAGAGTCTCCCCAACTGTGACCTTGAGAGCACCATGAGTTCGTGGCCAGCCAGAAGTGCCAGTGGCTCCTGCTCATGCTGGCAGCTGAATTTGGAACCTCACTGCTTGGGTTGCTCTGACCCCAGCTTCCAAGTACAGGCAATTGCAGGAAGGGGAGGGAAGAGAAGCAAATGTACCTGAAGGAGGGAGACATTGGCAAGGCTGAGTCTGAAGAGGTAGTTCCTGCGAAAACAGAAACAGAAATCATTAAGCCAAGCTGGTTCTGCAGGCAGGATCTCAGGACACCAGGACTGGGTACCAAATGCACTGGGCCCAGGGTGCGCCACCGTCCAGGAAGGACTTGATCTCCCTTAGCTCACGTAATCTTCATATAATGCTGGCCAGTGATAAAGAAAACTCCATTTTACAGATGAGGAAACAGGTTGGGTCAACGGTCCATGCCACAAAAATACAGAATCAAGGAGTCGGATTAAAATCACACTCCATCTTCACCAACCCCTACTCTGTAGCTGTTCCTGGTCAAGCCAGCACCTCCAGGGAGAAAACTGCTGATACTACTGCTAAACAAAAATTACAGAAGGCCATTGTTTTGGACTAAGCATCCTCACTGGATCACAAAAGACCTAAGAAAAAAATCAAAATGGAGTCACCCATGCTAAAGCTCCCCATCACCACCTCAAACTGAGCTTCAGGGCCAGGGATATAGCTCAGTAGCACAGTGCCTGCCTGTCAAGCGCAAGGTCCTGAGTTCGATTCCCAGTACCAAAACAAAACAAAACTGACCTTCAGAGACATCAGGAGAAAGAAAGAACAAATTTCCCAATCAGGTGAGTTTCACTGGTATCACAGTGAAGTTCTCTCTTTCTTAATTCATACATACAAAAAAAGGTAACTTGAAGAAACCTCACGTTAACCAAGCATTATTTTTTTCCTGTTCTGTCTCCATGTCCTTGTCTTTCCTAGGAAAGTAACTTGTAATGAACCATCTGCTTTTTTTTTTGTTTCTGTTTTCTTCAGCCCTTCCCTATGAAACCAATATCTTCTGCTCAGCACATTAGATCACTTATTCTATTTTATGGAATGAAGTGTTGCTCGATTCTAGAATCAAAGACAAAGCCAGTTAAGATCCATACACAAGATAAGGTGTGGTAACATCTGTTCACCCCACCTTTCCCGGCCACAGAACCGGTTTGTGTTACAAGTAGCTCTCACAGGGCCCCCGCAGGGACTCAGGCAGGCTGCCCCCTCCTCCCTGCCTGCCACCCTGACCATGCCCTGCCCCACACAGGGGCCTGGAGTCCTGTTCACCTCCTCACCTCCAGTAGTCAGGGGCACTCTGGGTGTGCCTTCTCTCTGGATCTGACCACCCTGTCTCCTCCAGCCCAGTTACCCCACCCTCCATTCCGTGATCCCTGTCCCCCAGCCCAGCCTGCACAACCCTGCCAGATTCACCCTCCTCTAGCACCATTTCCACCCAGCAGCCAGCTGCTCATCAGCCTTCGGTAGTCCCAAAGAAGGCACTGCTGCTGATAATCCCAGCACACAGTGAGCATCGGGTGAGCCACCCGACTGCTTTGCACAGACTCAGAACTTGGATGCCTGGATGGCGGCTGGGTCAGAGAACCATGGACAAGGAATTTCACGTTCACAGAACAGAGCCTGCTGCAGAGGCAGGCAGATTCCAGCTCGGGCACTTGCTGGGCCCTCTGTGGGCCTCAGTGCCTGCATCTGTGAAATGGAGAACTAGTTCACGTCTGGCTTTTTTTATTGCCAGGCCTACGGAGCCACATGAACAGGCTGAATTAATGACAAGCAGATGTAAAGCTTTGGTTTTCCTGGAGGATCTTCTTTCTTCCCTTCTTCTATCTTCTTTTGGCCTCTTTGAGTTCCTGAACTTTTCAGGAATAATTACTTTAGAAAGCTCTGGCCTACCTCAGCTGTGCTGGGGAGAGAAATGAGGGGAAAGTCAGCGAGTGGGCCAGAAAGGGAAGGAGGGGCCTTGCTGCAGGAAGCCAGGGGCAGTGAGGAGCACTGTAGGCCCCAGACTCCTCTCCTGGCTCTGGCTGCAAGCCTGGGCGTCTCTGCAGTCCTGGGCCCGGCAGCCTCACCCGCAACCTAGGCTCCAGGCCCGTGCTGTCCTTCCCGGCCCCCTCTTTGGGTCCCTGGCAGAGCTTCCCTGCCCTGTGCTTCTGGCCTGGGGACAGATGGGCTCCAGCTCACGGCTCTGCCCCAGCTGTCTGCTCAGGTAACGCAGGCATCTGCTCACAGCTTTAACAAATTAGGGGAAGCATTGCATCACTGGACTCGTCTGTCTCCCATCACAAGCCATTCATCACAGCTCTCGGGGCTCCGCTGGGAGCTGGGAGAAGAGAGCAGAGAGGCTCTGCAGCCAGACCCACCCCCAGTTCCACAGAGAGCAAGGCGGGATTGGAAATGGATAAGAAAATTTCCCCAGCCCAAATTCCAGAGGCCCTAAGGGGTTGGGAAGAAGGAGAAAAAAATGTCAGGCAGAGAAGGAGGAAGGAAAGTGCCTTAGGAAAAGAAGGAGAGAAAAGCAGCTAAGGGCCCAAAACACTGGCTCTAGGGGCATAAAGGACAGTCCCGAAGGGACCTCCCTGTGGACTTGAGGGCCGCCTCTGTCTCGAGGACCCGTGAAAAGGTATGATCTCTGACTGTGTGAAGGAACCTCCAGACCCAGAAGCCAGCAGCACATTTATACAGGAAGGCCCGGAGTGGTCAGGGGGACCAGTGTGACTTATCCTTCTGAGTTCAATTTCCTGATCCATAAAATGGGTTTGATCATAGAACCGCCCTCCTGGGGTTACCATGAATACTGGATAATGATGTGCTTGCATGATCTACTACATGTACTAGCTTATGTACTACATGTCTGATTTGCCCTGTATACCAGCCAAGTCATTCCAAGATGGTACATAAGCAGTGGCTGGCACACCACAGGTACAGAAAGAATGGCAGCCTCCCAACGATCTTTGCAAGGTTCAGAGTGGGGTCTCCAGATGCTACCTTTTGGGTGTTGCAAAGTGCATATGTAAACGGCTGAGATCTGAGCTGGGTGGAGGGATGGCCTGAATGTCAGTTTCTGGGTTATAATGTACTACAGTTATGCACAATGTTACCACTGGGGGATACCGGGTGAAGGGTACATGGGATCTCTGCACGGGATTTCTCGCAACTGCAGGTGAATCTACAATCACCTCGAAATAGAATGTAGAACGTTGGGCCAGCAGTTCCTATGTCTCCAAATAGAATGTGAAGACAATCTCTCTCCTTACTGAAAAATAAAGCTCATACTCCTCTATACCTGCATACGTTGGAAGACGCGGCTGTGCCCCCAGGGAAGGGGCTTGTCTGTGTGAAAAGGGTGGCCCTGCTTTTCTACTATATACTCTTAAAACTTTTGAATGTTATACCAATAACACATAGGACTGGTGCAAAATAATTAGCCAATTCAAAAATTTTAAGCATAAAGACAAAATGCTTTCAGCCTCAGCTTCCCAGCAGCCCTATGAGGTGAACAGCACACACTGTAACCCAGACTTTACAGACAAGGAAACTGAGGCAAAGGTTGAGTTCATCCGGAAGGAGAACCCAGCTTATCTGATTCTGCTCCTTTTCATACAGTAAAGGAAGGGGTGAAGACATGAAACAGGGCCAAAGAGCAAGGCCGGCCAGCTACACAGCACAGCCTGGAGGTGCCCATCAGCTCTGAAGCCCCTGAACGGAACCTCTGGGCTGGAGGGTGAAAACTATTAGCACACTCAGAGAGCATGACACACACCCACCAGCAGATAAAGCACCAGCCCAGGGCTAGCAAGCCCACATTCTAGTCCACGCCCTGTGTCATCTTGCTTTGGGATCTTGGAAAGAGTCCCTTTTCCGGGGCCTCTGCTTCTGCATGATTAACATAAGGCAGCCCTTCTTAAACTTGAGCCTGGACAGTCACCTGGAGGGCTTGATAAACACAGTTGTGTGTCACAGAGGAGGGTCCACTCTCAGAGTTTCTGACTCAAGAGACTGGGAAAGACTCAAGGATTTACATTTTAACAAGTTTTCAGGAGGCATAGGAACTGCTGGCCCAAGAAAGGCTCTGGGACCCACCAGATAGACCATCTCTAGGCTCCCTTTCTACCCAGATGATGATCTGTGGTTTTCTGGGGAATTAGCTCCTTTTACTCCGCCCCCGAAAGCCTCACAAGGCGTCCCTGTTGAATCGGGATCAGGACCGTGGGGCTCGGGGAGCAGCTACAGGAAAGAGAGCCCTTCGTAAAAGAAGCACGTGGCTGTGCCTGCACGCCTCATGCAGGTAGCCAGCTGGCCAGCAGGGGGCGCCCGGGCATATTCTCAGCGCTGAGCTCCGGGGAGTTCAGCAACTAGGCAGGTCCTGGCATCACTACAGCAACAGGGACAGGAGGTGGCCGGCAGGAGTCCCTGCTCTCACTATTGCCGACCACTGAAGAATGCAGCAGGCTGAGATGGGGAGGGTAGGGGTCAGCCCTGCCTACAGCCTCCACACGCTTCCTTCCTTGAGGGACAGACATTCACTCTCTCTCTCTCTCTCTCTCTCTCTCTCTCTCTCTCTCTCTCTCTCACACACACACACACACACACACACACACACACACAGAACAGGACAAACAGTTCAGGGCCAGGACACAGGTCTGCCTTGTGGGCGCATCCTGAATAACATTCCCTCCACCCAGTCCTAAGCATCCCACCCTGGCCTCGACTTCCCTGCACCACATTACCTGGCTCCCACGATGAGCTGATTCCTGGAGGGATCCAGAGCAAGCTGGGAGAAATCTCGGGCTCCAGGGTAGGTGAAGTTAGAGACCCAGGGCTTCAGATCTGGTGGAGGGAGAGGCAACCCTTTGGTTACTGTTGGACCAGGAGCTCTGTTGGTCCAGCATCAGACTGGAGAACAGAACAGGGGGACGCTGGGGTGAAGAGGGTACAGGTGCTCAGGCAACCAGGGATCCACAGTCCACCATCTCTGAAAGCAGCCGCCTATGTGCCCCAGACAGTGGTGGCAGACTATTGTCACTGCCTCTGCCGTGTGCCCTAGCTCAGAAGAGGGCTCTACCTTCCCCCAGATGTACAAAAGGAAATCTGTAAGCACCCCTGGTGCTCCCCAGGCCCTCCGCAGCCACATCGATACACAAGAGCACATCCTACTTGTTCTACCCCAAATCATCCACACCTTTCTCTCTGGACCCCATCCCCCACCAAGCTGCCATCATCTCCTGCCAGGACTGGGGCCAACAGTCTGCTCACCAGCCTGGTTCCCAATCCTGCTCCTTCTACTCTATTTCCCACAAGGCAACTGAAGCGCTCTTCTGAAATGCAAGTGTGTCTATGTCACTCTCCATCTTGGTGCCCTTCCCACCTCCCCAGAAAGTCTCAACTCTCATGACCTTTGGGTTCTGGCCACACTCTCCTCCCAACTGAAATGACTGGCAATTAGTTACTTAGCGATCAGTTGAAAAAATGATGCTTCATCCTTATAATCCGTCAAACACTCCACCCCAGTCACACTAAACTAAACCAAACCATTTTACATGTCCTCGAATCTACCCTGCAGGAGCCTGCAAACCTTTCTACCTTTGCTCTCCCTTGATGGAACAGTTCCAGTCACCCCCAGCCCTACCTCCTCCAAGAAGCCTTCCCTGACTCCCCAAAGCAGGGTCAAGGATTTCCCCAGTCTTCTGCTATACTGCCATCATAGCCCCATCACAGGTGTCTAATCTTGCTTCTTGGATCTCCAGGCTCAGCCTTGCAGGAATGCACAAATAATCAGGTTTTCAGATCAGATCCCATGGATTTGGGAGGGACAAAGGACAGGTAGTCAATGTCCACCCCATCTTCAGGGAAGGTCCTTTTCAGCCAAACCCAAAGCCTTTTGAAGAGATTGGGTGGGCAGAGAGACCTCCCAAACCTCTGGCTAGCTGGGGGTGGTTGAAAGGGTACACCTGGGGCACGCCAGCTGGCCTCCCACCACCCTGGCCCATACTTCCTAATGGTTCTGCTCAGCCCCTCCTCATGGAAGGGAGCCACAATTGGGAAGGTGAGAACGAAGGGGCAGAGGAGCTTCCACGCTCATGGGAGCGAGATAAAGGGAAGTGCAAGGCCGCATGCTCTCTCCCCATGGTGCATAAGCAACTGGCTCAAACAAGGGCCAAGGGACTGTGTGTGTGTGTGTGTGTGTGTGTGTGTGTGTGTGTGTGTAATCCAAGGGAAATAAATCATTGCTCATTATCCCTCCACTACAGAGTAAAAGCAGCCCTTCATTTCTGCACGACAGGCAAACACTTAATCGCTCCCTGGAGAACTGGAGGTTTTGTGAGTTGGATGTTTTTCAGAAAGCTGTGATATACATGATTTAAAAAAAGAAGAAACTCTGCAGTAAAATGAAGCAAATTCCTTGGGTCTGCCCCTGCCCCCAGCAAGTTACCTATGGGTTAATGAGAACTGTCACATGCCCTCAATGGCTCCATGGCATTTGGGCAACGGAGGCATAAAGAATAGATCTGGAGTCCTGTGGGCAGAGTTTTAAACTGACTTCAGGCCACTTGTGGAGAGCCTGGGAGAACACTGTACCCGCTGTGAGCCAAACCACGGGTTCTCCTCCTCCAGAAGACCTGGATTATAAGCTCTCTGCCCCATCTTCTTTTGTCCCACATTCCTTCCACCCTTTCTGCTCCATTTACACTGTATGTCCATGTTCCTCCGAATGAGCTCAGGTCTTTCCTGTGTGTGTGGAGGAAGCGGTGCAGGCCTGGCCTATTCCCATCAGACTGGCTGTTCCTAACAGTGGCAGATAAGTTATACTTTAATTCCCTCCTTCTCTGTGGCAGGGGCCTCCCCTGATGTGAGCTGCTGAATGGAGGACAAGGGGGCCACGATCAGATAGCTCAGTCTTCAGCAAGGTCCTTCCTTGGGGAGGAGGGAGGAAGAGCTGGGTGACAATGGGAGCTGAGTGACAGTGGGAGGGTATGGGTGGGGCTCTCCTTCCAGCTCTGCCCAGTCCCTTAGCCTGAAGGAACCACCTGGGCTAGCGTAGCAAACAGGGCCGAGGGGGAGAGACGTGGCTGTGATCCTGGGGGAGCCTTGGAAAGGGAGCCAGTCTCAGATTATTAAACAGCCAACGGGGACTAGAGGGAAAGCTGTCTTTAAAACACCAAGCACGTTCTGAGCTCCATGTGCAGCGAAGGCTTTGGACGGCGACTTTAGGAGAAAAATGACATTCTCCATGACGCACCTGTGATTTTAATTACAGTCAATTCAATTACCCACTTTGTGGATTAACCACCATGAGTGTTAACTCCAGCCTGGCTTCTCCCTGCCACCTAGAAAGGGTGTGCTGAAGCAGAGGGAGAAACCCACAGGAGAAAATGTCACCTATCAAAGCAGAGGACCGACAGTCAGATGGTGCCCCGGCAGCTCCTTTAGGGTATTCAGGGGCTATTCACAGATCCAGCAGGTGCCATGGAAGAAGGAAGCACCCAGCTATGGGTCGGGGCCCCCCAGATCACTCAGAAATGAAGTGTCAAGTCTGAGGGCCTCCCAGAAGCAGTGGTTGGCTTGTGCTGGATTAACGTGACTCCTCTGGAACTCAGCACCAGCTGGAAGACAGTCCCTCACCCAGTGAGACCAAGGCCCCTCTGTGTGCTCAGAAGTGCTAGATATATGGGCAGACCACAGAAGTAGTTCTGGTGGCAGACCAGCTGAGCTGGAGGACCAGAAGCAGTGACCTTCAAGGGACAGTACAAGGTAAGTGAGTACCCACAGGAAATACTTCTTCATCTGCAGGACTATAAAAATGTGGTGAGCCTAGCATGTGGGGGCCTTGGGTTTCACCCCTTGGGTTTCACACACATGCATACACACACACATTTGATGAATGGCTAGGAATATCTAAAGGTATCAGGATCCTTCATTCTGTAAGAGGGTGGTGCAGGAAGTCAGATCCATTCAGTTTACACTGGAAGATCAAAAACGGTCTCAGAGAACCAGATCCTTGGGACCCCATCTCCCACTTCTCTGGCACCCTCTCCACCTAATTTGCCTCAGTACAGACTACCCTGACTGAGAGGGGAAGGGGACAAGGGTCAGCCCTGTGGCCAGTGCCCCGGACAGAGCCCCTGGGAGGGCGTGTTCCAAGAGGAGCTGTCACAGGCCTTCAGCTTGGGGACAGCCCCAGGAATCCTACTCCTTCTGTCCCCACACTTGGTCCTTCCCTTCAGTGCCAGCCACCAGCACTCCAGGAGCCATCAGGAGTCTGAGAGAGTACGTATGTTTGTACACTCTGGACATTGCTAATTTACTCTAATCCACTTAAGCCTACAAAGCCAGAGATCCAGGTTCAAACAAGACCGCTCAGAGCACGCTGCTGGAAATCTTTCTCCCCAGAGAAGGGAGCCAACCTGCAGCTGGGAACCCGCATTTTCAAACCACTTCCAGCCTCCTGTTCCACCAGCAGCTCTCAACTCTTGCCTATCTTCTGTCCATCAAAGCCCTCGCCAGCTTCCACCTCACTGATTCATCTTTCTGCTCGGGTTTCCACCTTGGCCTGCCTCACTATCTTTCGAGGCAGGACAGGACCACACAACCTCTGATCCAGGGCCCTGGAGGGTAGAGCATCTGATTCCAGGGCAGTGGAGTCAGAAGATCGACCTTGAAGCCTGGCTCTGACAAGTTTCTCCAAGCCCCAAGCCTTGGTTTTTTTGTTTGCAAAAAAAAGACAGCCTCCTTGCCTTGCATGCCCTCCCTGGCACGGTTATTAGAGGAGTGAGTAGGCCAGTGTGGATCAGACTTAAGAACCTGGGACTCTTGAGACAACATCTGCAGATCTTGATGTGAGCCGCCATGTAGGTGTTGGATCTTGAATTATGAATGTGATCATGACACCACCAGGGACCCTCAGACTGGTCATTAGGTCATGGGAGAACATCCAGGCCTCTCTGGTATTTCTGTTTTGTTTTATTTTTTGGATTATCATCAAATGTATATACTAATTTTAGAAATCACAGAGAACTTATGGACCTCTTGGAATACATCCAGTGATTCACAAATCCAACTTTGAGAAGCACTTTAATAAGACACTCCCACGCTCTCCCTCAGCAAATAGAAGAATTACTAGTCATTAGGGCCCCTTTCACTGGGGGTTCCCAAGACTCCAAAAAGGGATGCCTGCAGCCCACTTGGAGTGGGAAGGAAGCCTTCCAGAGATCACTAGGCACTTCCTAAGGAGGGAGTCGTCTTTACTCTTCCTCATCACAGAAGTCAAGAAGCGGAGATTGTGCTTCCAGCTAGAGCTGAGACCACCAAGTAGATCTTGGCCATTGCCACCCAGGGTGTTCTCAACTTCATTCTCCAGCAAAGGAATCCTAGCAAAAGACCACCACTTCCCTGAGGGAAAACATGGACAATGGCCCTGAATAAATCATCTGAAGACAAAAATTAGACCTTTCCAGCCCACACACAGGGGTCTGTTCTTAAAACATCCTTCAGAGGCTCAGTATCTTGCAGGAAACAAACATCCCAAGGTCTTCCAGCGGCCAGGAAGACCTTACTGAGCTCTGGCCCAAAGTCTTTGAGACCCACCAAGTGGGAAGTGCTTACCTTCAAAGGTCACAGTGGGGTGCTCTCTCAGGGCGCAGAGCTGCTGTTCACTGCTGGTTTCGCTGGAGACATCATGGGAGCTGGAGAGGTGAGCCACCAGCAGAGCGAGGCTGGGTAGCAGGAGTGACAGAGCTAGGGGTCCTGGGAGCACCATGGTGGAGCCCTCTGCAGTCCTAGCTCCCGGAGTCAGGCTGAGAAGGAAACCTGCAACACAAAACTCAGTCTCACCAAGTGCTCCCTGCATCACTGCCCACTTCTCTCACCTTCCTTGTGGTTGTCAACAGCCTGGTGGCATTTTAAAAAATAAATGTATATTGTATTTGTTGCTCAGAGTTTATGCTCTAGTAATGCAAAGTTATAGATCATGTCTTGAAAGCTAATTTTCCTTCTAATGGTATTCTGAACAAAACTGAGGAATTCTAGAACCCTTTCTATTATTATCCCAAATGGTTTTAAATTAGTTTTAATGATACAAGTGGTATCTTAGGGATTTTAATAAATGGAACCAGGGAGGTCTCTAACCATTTATAAGGAGAAAAACTTGGACCCAAGTCCAACTTAGACCCACATCTTATGCTAGAAAAAAAGTGCAGTTGGATAAGAGATTTAAATGTTAAAGTTAAAACTATAAAACTATTAGATGAACATTTGGGTAGAATCCTTCATGCCTTGCAGTACAAAACTATGACTCAAAATATAGAAACCATCAAAGAAAAGACTGATGAGTTTGACTACATTAAGAACACAGATTTTTTACCTGTCCTCCCTCCAAAAAAATAATATCAAGTAACATCAAAATGCAAGTGACAAACTGGAAAAAATATTTATAATTCATATTACAGACAAGGGACTAATATTCCTAATATATAAAGCACTCCTAGGGGTCAAGAAGAAAATGACCAACGATCCAGTAGAAAAATGGTTAAAGAATATAAACATAAACAGGGTTTAAAATAATATGAATGATATTTTTTCTCACTCATAATAAGAGCAATGCAAATTAACACTTAGACTGAGATACCACTTCACGCCTATCAACTTAGCAGAAATCCAAGTTAGACAACACATTTTTGGCGAGACTAAGGGAGATGGATACTGTCATATATTGCTGTTGAGTATGAAAATGGCACAACTCACATAGAGGGGAATCTGGCAGTATCTGGCCAAACTACTAATGTGTTGACCCTTTGACTCAACAGCCTAATTTTGGGAGTCTGGCCTTCTGCTCCCCAAACTGATGCACAGATAAGTGTCGCTCCTTGTACTGTAACAACTCTGCAGTAAGATCGATTAAGAAATGTGAGGGGCTGGGGATTTAGCTCAGTGGCAAAGCACCTGCCTGGCAAGCGCAAGGTTATGAGTTTGATTCCTGGTACCGGAAGAAAAAAACAGAAACAAGAAATGTGAGAACCAGTGATTAAAGCCGTCCTAGTAATTTGACAGAATACTTTTATATGTATTCAATCTAACAACCAAAGAATTAGGTCTAGGGGTACAGGTCAGTGGCAGAGCACTTGCCTAGCATGTGCAAGATCCTAGGTTTCAGCCTCAGCACCACAAAATACAATGAGGGAAGGGGAGAGAGAGAAAGAGAGAGAGAGAGAGAGAGAGAGAGAGAGAGAGAGAGAGAGAGAGAGAACAAAACAAATATTTAGGCTTGTACTTGCATGTTGTTTTTCAATTCATTTTTCTGGTAATTCACTTTTATTGAATTTTATGCAAGTATCCATCTGCAATAGGTTGCAATTTGAAAAATCAAACTTTCTACTTCACAGATAGTTGAGAAGCAAAAATAGACTTCAGGGCACCTATACAAGGTGACTTTTGTATGAGATTATTTGCTGTGACATTCTTTGAAATAACAGAAGGATGAAAGACAGTCAAATATCTAGAAACAAGAGACTGCTTAAATAAGCTATGATGTATCTTTGTAATTAATGAAATACTATGCAGCTATAGAAAAGGATGGCTTTTCTCTTCTGTGAAATTAGAGGTTGAACTGGGTCAGGAACTCTCAGCCAGGGATGGGGTTAATCACAGTGGAAGCCTGTGTGGGCAGATAGGGAATCCCAGAGGTGATTCTGAGGGGCCTCCCCAAGGCAGAAAGCCAGTGAGAGGCCCCTGGGGCTCCTCCCTGCTCTAAGATCTTTGCTCCTAACCTTTCTTCTCTCTTCCATTCCTAGCACCACTACTTTGCTCTGGAAAATTGCAGTAGGATTATTTTATTCATTCCTGTTTCCTCACATATGTGTGAAATGAGATGATATCCATCACTGAGTTGCTGCAAGGCTTCAAAGAAATAATGCAGTGACAGACACAACCAGTCTACCCTGCCCAGTTCAGTACCATATCAGGAATCCTTTCCCATAGTCTTTCCCTTCTTCGGACCCCAGTCCTCAGGTACAAACACTACCTTCTCTGTCCTCCCAGGAGGACATGGTCACCCTTCTCAGAGAGACCCTCTAGAAGGGAGGCTGGACCCAAATGCTTTTCATATTATCACTTACATGTTCTTTTCTCCCCTTGGTGTTTGGCTGGGCCTTCTTGCATGTGCGCTTCGGCTCTGCTGTCCCAGGCTTGTTACCCACCACAGCCCTTCTGCAATACTGTCTCTGGCCTCTCAAACAGAACCACAGCATACATGTATGAGGGAGGGGAGGACCGAAGGGCAGGGTCAACGCTCTGGAGCTAGACAACCTGAGTTAAACCCCAGCTCTTCTTCTTACCAGCTCTATGACTCTAGGAAAAATACTGGACACTTCCTTGCCTTGGTTTCCCTAAATCAGGAAGGAAAAAAACAATAGAAAGTGCATCGACAGCTATGAGGACAAAAGGAGTTACTTTAAAAGCTTAGAATAATGCCTAGGAGACACTGGGCGGTCAATGAGTGGGAGCTGTTCTGGAGCCAGGAGGGCATGGGTGGCACTGGAGACTTCTCTTTTCCCCTTTGTACCTCCAGATCTGCCCTCTCCTGCCTGCTGGGTGGACCTGTGGGGACCCGCATCCAGGATCTCCCTTTCCTCGGGTTGCGGGTGGCCAGTGGCAGGAGGAGGAGATGCGCTGGAAGCTGCCTGCATCCTCCGCTTCCAGGCCACTGGAAATAGCTCCCTCCCTGCTGCCTTTAGAACCTGGGTGGGGCCGGCCCCTTGGTTTCAGCCCCAGGGTACTGCACAGGGATGATCCATATGGTTCTCAGCTCCCTTCTCACACATCAATAAACAGCTCCTTTATTAAACTGCCCTCGCATCTCCTAACTTGAGAGCACCATCTGCTTCCTGGGGGTCCCTGACTAATAGAATACCTCGGGAGAGATTACTCAACACATATGCAAATATCATCCTTTAGCTGGGACTTTTGTTCCCTCAGCCCCTCAAGACATCGAAGGTGGCACACACTGCCCTCCACCATTATTGCCCACCTGCCCCCTGCCCCACACTCCCCTCCCTTTCCAGGCCTCTCTACCTCTCCACCCAGGTCTGACCACTACTCTCAGAGACTCAGCCTGCCTGGCAGTCTCTGTGGCCAGATCCTGAGCCCCAGGGGCCCGAATTAGGAATGTACCCTGGACCCCTTCTCCTCCCCCAGTCCTCATGCCTCAGAGCTCTTAAATTCTGCAGCAGAAGTTCCATTCTCATTATAGTTTTTATGTTAATATGTCCTGCAAGTCCTTCCTGAATCAATAATTGCTAGATTAATATCACTGCATCCACCTGGGCCCCACCAGTGCAGGTCTGCAGGGAGTTTCAGAAGGGGAGGGACATAGGGAATATGATGGATGCAGGGAGGAGGTAAGGGAAGAGCCTGGATCTGGGATCTGCTCCACTCATGTGGCTTTCTTCAGGGTGGGGAGGAGAGAGGCAGAGAGACAGGTACACAAGAAGCACATAGAGTCACACCGAGACCAATTCAGGGCATGTGAGGGAGGCTGAAGAAATGCTGAACTCACATCAGCGCCCCAATCCTCCGTCCTGCAGAGGCGCATGCACAGGCCTGATCTGCCATCACTGTCAAAGACCTCCTCCTTGGCAAGGGAGCCCATAGGAAGGGTGCAGTGCAGGGTCAGAGGAGCGGGTAGGAATAGGCCGGAGTATGGAGTGCTAATGGCCAGCACTGAGTGCAGTGAGCCAGGGCTTGAAGCTTTGAAAATGTCTGTAGAACAGGGGTGCCATACTAAAAAAGGAAGGCAATCCTCACATCATTGAGTATTAAAAGGGCTCACGTTTTCAGTAGAGTTCTAGATACTTATTGGGTGGGGGCAACTTCCCAACTTCTAATAACTTTGAATTCCCCATGTTAGGAAAGTATCTCCCTCCACTCACAGCCCACGAGGTAGGCCCCAGCAGCCTTTCACATACCACTTTATCCTGGCCACAGCTGCTTGCACCAGAGCAATCATGTGATCAAAACAGACCAATCACTGTTTTTCCATAGGATCATGGGATCAGAATAGACCAATCAGTAGCTGTCCCATCCAGGGTCAAGTCAGTCTTTGCAGAAGAATCTGGAAATGTAAATATGGGCCCTGGGCATTGTCCTCTTCCACCTGTTATAGGGTGAGGACAATCCGAAAAAAGACTAGTAATAGGAGATAGCAGAAACTTGCTGGAATGCTGACAGCGTTCCCATACTCAGTTCTGGCTGCTCCCTGAGGTCTGACTATATTCCACTTCTGTAAGCCACTTCCGGCCCAAGTCTTGGTAATAAAATTTCTGTTTTTGCATGGAGTTATGTGAGATGAGTAGTTGCCCACAGGTGTTGCTTTAGTGTCTGTTGGTGGCCTTCCTCCCATCTAGCGCAGTCTCAGCATCTGTGAGAGCTGGAGGCAATGTACTCCAATTAAACCTCTCCTAGCCTTCCAGACAGAGGTGAGACAGTACATGAGGAAGTCACCAGTGGGCAGTGCATGGAGTGTTCCAAGAAAACTTTACTTCTTCCACAGATAGGATGGGGAAGTTGGCCCATCAGCCACCTGCACTTGCTAAGTGATGGTTGGCTAAGGGTGGTGGTGCAGGAGGGCAGGTAGAAGTTAGGTCGATGACACACAAGCAGCTCTACTCTGCCCACCTCCAGATTTCTTTTCCAGCCTTGTCCCTTGCATTTTCTTCTTTCCTACTTTGCTTCCTTCCTCTCCTTTCCTTTTTTTCCTTCTCTTCCTTCTCTTCCTTCCTTCCTTTTTTCCTTCTTTTCTTCCTTCCTTCCTTCCT